TGTATATATATATATATATATATATATATATATATATATATATATATATATATTAGGGCTGACCCCTAATACTCGACTAATCGTTAGTCGACCAGAAGAAGCTTGGTCGACCATAATTTTATTAGTCACAGAAAAAAAAAATCCACAGGCGAAGTCACGCAGTCCGTGACTAACAGATGGTTAACGGCTAGTCTATGGTAATACAATACATCGGGCAGGACATCCAAACGATCGCCTATCATTCATTGACCTCAAATATGGCTTCTGAAATATGTAAGTATTAGCAACTTTACATGGCCGCTCAATCTAATGGATAAGTGTCAACACTTGCCAAGTGTAAACATTTACAAATGTGTGCTATTTGTGTTCATTTTGTGATTCTTGAGGTAGTTATATTGTGTGTTTGTGTTTTCTAAATGAGAACACGGTTAAACCTGTGCAAAATGATGTAGTTCTTGTGTAGAGTTTTGCAGAAAACACTGAGCAAATTGGAGCGTGTGTGAAAAAAGGTGAAATGTGTTAAAAGTTTTGAGAAATGTGTCTTTGTTTCAAGAACTGTATGAATGGTTTGGAAAATTGTGCCAAACGAATCAGTTATATTGTGTTAGCAATCGAGAAAAACTGTAATAAATAACATTATTTTTGAAAGTTTTGAAACGTATCTGTTAAGTTATCTGTTTTTGCAAATAAACTGTTCATTTGTAACCTTGTAAAGATTAACCCTAGATTACTAAATTAGGCACTTAAATGGTAACTGTGGAGGAATGGATGCTTCAAGGTAATAGAATTATATTTACAGTAATATAAGAAAACAGACAATACAGTGTATGAGCATTCTCAGGAAGAGTGATTCAGGTTCAGATCTGTGCTGTGAACTTGGAGCTAATTGGGAAACACTATTAGGCTACAGTGGTTTGATTAAGAAACCTGAGGCAATGCAACTGCAATCAGAATTATTTTTATAATCTTGGGTAAGAGCTGATAAAGTTTGCTTTTGAGGAAAATTATGCTGGATTGTTTTAACTTGTTTTTCACAATTTATATACTTTATGTGAACAGTTTTGATTTGGTTGGTGTTCTTCTGTAAATGTAAATATTTCATGATTCTGACATTTGCATAGGCCTATAAGTATGTATATGGTCATAGGCTTCTCTCCATTTAAATTTCAGATTTGTTATTCTTTTTCTCTTTTTTTAATACTCTATTTATTATGTTTCCTGTCCATAAACATCAAAACTTTTTCATTTAACAAAATTAATTGTAACTTTTGAGAGCTAAGCTCCAAAGACGTAAAAATGTTCACTCATAACATGTTGCATAAAATGCAACGCTAAAAAGCTCAACTGTGTCTCAAATCCTTGCATTTTTTTTCTTCCATTCTACTGCTTTTCAATGCAAAAACTATGGTACTAACAGAGAAAATGTGTTGCTTGTCAAATGCGCCACAAAATGTTTCATTTGCATGTTGTTTTGCTCCAGAACCAATTCTCACTGCACTTGTATCTCTTTTCTGTATAGTGTGCACCAGTTTGGAAAATGATAATCTGACTAGTGTCTCCATGACACAGGCGAATGAGGGCTTTTCAAGCATCCAGATCTTCACTATGTGCATTTACCTCATCATCTTTGTCTTGGGCTTCATTGGAAATGGGCTTGTCATCTTTGTGACTGGCTACAAAATGAAGACGACAGTCAACTCCATTTGGTTTCTCAATTTAGCGATTGCAGACTTCTTTTTCTCCTTCGCCCCAGTCATACGCATTGTCTTGATCTTTGGCAAGCCGCTGGGCTACATTTTGTCCAAGCTTCTCTCTTTCATGACAGAGCTAAATATGTTTGCTAGTATTTTTTTTCTAACAGCTATCAGTCTGGACCGATGCGTGTGCACATGGGTGATTGTGTGGGCACAGAATAAACGAACTCTACGCAAAACCAGGATCATTTGCATGATAGTGTGGATTTTATCCATCGGATGTAGCATTCCATTTGTCATCAATTTCTGCATCAAGTATCTAGACTTACAGTCTCTGTTCATATACAGGTTTATGGTGGGCTTCCTCATCCCCTTCCTGATCATTGCATCTTCTTATATAGCTATTGGAGTGCGAGTCAAACGTCTCACAAGGGGGAAGCATCTCAGGTCCTACCGTCTTATTATTTCTGTGGTTCTGGCCTTTTTCGTATGTTGGTTCCCTTACCATATTCACAAACTGTGTCTTATTTCATTAAATACAGTGGAGAATAAGCAGAATGTAAAGTTCGAGAAGTAATATCTAAAACAACACCTTTTGTGGTTTGCCTGGCTTTTCTAAACAGCTGTCTGAACCCCGTTCTCTATGTGTTCATGTGCAATGAGTTTAAGAAGAAGCTCAAACAGTCTCTGTTGCTGGTGCTGGAAATGACTTTTGCTGAAGAACATCTGGACTTTCTGGATCACAAAGATGACAAAAGACCCCAATGCTTCCTTGACCAGATGCAAAGACAAGAAAACAGTACTAAAATCAATCTCTAAGTAGCTAAAGTAGCTTATTGTCTTACAATTATTGACCAATTATTAAATTTTGTTTGTGTTGTAACTAAAAGTGTGTCAAATGTGTATGTACAGATTTGTGACCAATGAAGTCAGTGTCCCAAAAATAAATCTCTGGATTTTACCTGTACAGTGAAAGTTTCTCCTTGGCTGTCCCATGTCACAGGATAGTAGTATCTTTCGATAACGTGTCATCTTGTAGGGAACACACTTCTCTTTGCATTTAGGATTAGTTGGTGGAATTTCAGATTGCAGAAATAGAATTTAACACTGCACAAAGTCAATGAAAATAGATTTCTGTAGAAGCATATTTCTTTTCTACTCCTTCCCACCATCACTCTTTAATAAGTAAAGGGGAATTTATCATCAGTTGTTCACTGTCAAATGAAAAACTGAATAGATGTTTTATGGGCTTCAACACAGACTGAAGACATACAGAAAATGGTGAAGAGTCATACATACATACATACATACATACAGTCAGGTCCATTTATATTTGGACACTGACACAATTTTCATAATTTCGACTCTGTATGCCACCAGAACAAAATGGAAAATAAAACAATCAAGATGAACAAAAATATACCATAAAATGACTAGGAATTACAACCATTTTTATACACAGTCCCGCCATTTTCAGGGGCTCAAACGTAATTGGACAAATAAATATAATCATAAATAAAATGTTAATTTTTTATATATATATTTTTTGAGAATCCTTTGCAGGCAATGACTGCCTTAAGTCTGCAACTCATGAACATCACCGGAGACTGGGTTTCCTCCTTTGTGATGCTTTGCCAGGCCTTTACTGCAGCTGACCTCAGTTGTTGTTTGTGTGTGGGTCTTTCTGCCATTAGTTTTGTCTTCAGCAAGTGAAATGCTTGCTCAACCAGGTTAAGATCAGGAAATTGACTTGGCCATTGCAGAATATTCCACTTTTTTACCTTCAAAAACTCCTGGGTTGCTTTTGCTGTGTGATTTGGATCATCGGCCATTTGTACTATGAAGTGCCGCCCAATCAACTTTGCTCCATTTGACTGAATCTGGGAAGAGAGTATATCCCTATACACTTCAGAATTCATCCAGCAGCTTCTGTCTTCTGTCATGTCATCAATAAACACCAGTAACCCAGTGCCACTGGAAGCCATGCATGCTCATGCCATCACACTGCTCCACCATGTTTCACAGATGATGTTGTATGCTTTGGATCATGAGCTGTTCCAAGCCTTGTCCATACTTTTTTCTTCCCATCATTCTGGTACAAGTTGATCTTAATTTCATCCATCCAATGAATGCTTTTCCAGAAGTGGTCAGGCGTTTTTAGTTGTTTTTTGGCTTGTTTGCACCTTGTGGTTAACCCTCTGTATTTGGTTGCTTTTGCTGTGTGATTTGGATCATCGGCCATTTGTACTATGAAGTGCCGCCCAATCAACTTTGCTCCATTTGACTGAATCTGGGAAGAGAGTATATCCCTATACACTTCAGAATTCATCCAGCAGCTTCTGTCTTCTGTCATGTCATCAATAAACACCAGTAACCCAGTGCCACTGGAAGCCATGCATGCTCATGCCATCACACTGCTCCACCATGTTTCACAGATGATGTTGTATGCTTTGGATCATGAGCTGTTCCAAGCCTTGTCCATACTTTTTTCTTCCCATCATTCTGGTACAAGTTGATCTTAATTTCATCCATCCAATGAATGCTTTTCCAGAAGTGGTCAGGCGTTTTTAGTTGTTTTTTGGCTTGTTTGCACCTTGTGGTTAACCCTCTGTATTTGCTCTTGTGAAGTCTTCTCTTGATTGTAGACTTTGACAGTGACACAGCTGCCTCCTGGAGAGTGTTTTTCACTTGGCTGGATGTTGTGAAAGGATTTTTCTTTATCATGGAGAGGATCCTCCGATCATCCACCACTGTTGTCTTCCGTGGACAGCCAGGCCTTTTTATGTAACTGAGCTCCCTAGTGCGTTCTTTTGTTCTCTCAGAATGTACCAAACTGTTGATTTGGCCACTCCTAATGTTCCTGCTATCTCTCTAATGGATTTGTTTTGTTTTTGAAGCCTAAAAATGGTCTGTTTCACTTGTATGGAGAGCTCCTTTGACTGCATGATGTGGGTTCAGAGCAATAGCTTCCAAGTGCAAATGGCTCAGTTCAGATGGTGTTTTCCGATAACGTGTCACCTAGGTAACACGCTTCTCTCTGCATTCGTGATTCATTGGTGGGAGTTTAGAATGCAGAAATAGAACTTAAAATTGCACAAATAGATTTCTGTAGAAGCATATTTATCTTTTAACTCCATCTAACCATCACTCTTTCATAAGTAAAGGGGAATTTATCATTAGCTGTTCACTGTCAACTGAAAAGAGAACATGCAAAGAGGTTTTATGGGCTTCAACACAGACTGAAGAAAATGTGTAAGAGTCTAATTTGTGTATTTGTTGTATTATGTATGATTGGTGCCTGCTGAAATAATGTTATTTTACACTCTCTGTAACTTGGTGAAAATATCAATTTAGAAAGATTTCACAAATTATTTTTCATATAAATGTGTGTCCTTAACTACAAACAGTGTCCTAGTGGTTGGATTTAGCTTTTGTATTTGTATTTTGTTTTGTTTTATGTAGGTTGCTTTCATTTGTTTTTATATTTATATATTTTTTACTTATTTGTTTGCTTGCTTTGCTTATTGCCTTTTGTACATTACTGTCTCAGACCCAGACCTTTCACTTCAAAATAAGAAAATCCATCATAATTAAATTACTAAAAATGTATTTTCCACACTATAATTAACTACACAAAATGAAATCTTCATACAACATTTAATATGAACAACAAAATGTAGGTAAATGGCACAATTAAAATTTTCAAAATGTCATGTTTTCATTTTTTTTCCAATTGCAAAAAGAGTGAAAATATTATTTAAATGTATGTACTTAAAGTAAATACATTTTTATTTCAGAAATGTTTAAAATTCCATCACAGAACTATTGTAAAACTATTGTTATCTGAAATTTGGTTAAAATGCTCACTTTTAGATGAAAATGGTGGAATTCTTCTTTAAAAATAAACAAATAAAAGAAAGAAAGAAAGAAAGAAAGAAAGAAAGAAAGAAAGAAAGAAAGTTAAATATGAAGTGAGAATGTGAAACTATGCTTCATATTGCATGTTGTCCTGGCATAGAAAAATTTGTTGCATGTGAAATGTACCATAAGAAATATTCCGATTCCAGAGACCAACACTTATTGTATTTTCTCTTGTTTTTGAGTAACAGTCACTACTTTTGGACCTCAAAATGTGACCAGATTCACTACAGACAATTCTACCGTGCAGGCCGAGGACTTTTCGGGCATTAACGTCTTCAAAATATGCATTTACTTGGCAATCTCTGCCGTAGGTCTCATTGGAAACGGGCTTGTCATATTTGTGACCGGCTACAAAATGAAGACAACAGTCAACTCCATTTGGTTCCTCAACTTGGCGATTGCAGACTTCATCTTCTCCATAACTCTGATCATAAGTTTCATTTTAGCCTTATGCAAGATGACTTGGCACTTTGGTGACTTCAAGTGGAAGTTTCTCCAATTCATGATTTACTTAAACATGTTTGCCAGCATTTTTCTGCTGACTACTATCAGTCTGGACCGATGCCTGTGCACATGGATGGTTGTGTGGTTCCGATTCCAGAGACCAACACTTATTGTATTTTCTCTTGTTTTTGAGTAACAGTCACTACTTTTGGACCTCAAAATGTGACCAGATTCACTACAGACAATTCTACCGTGCAGGCCGAGGACTTTTCGGGCATTAACGTCTTCAAAATATGCATTTACTTGGCAATCTCTGCCGTAGGTCTCATCGGAAACGGGCTTGTCATATTTGTGACCGGCTACAAAATGAAGACAACAGTCAACTCCATTTGGTTCCTCAACTTGGCGATTGCAGACTTCATCTTCTCCATAACTCTGATCATAAGTTTCATTTTAGCCTTATGCAAGATGGCTTGGCACTTTGGTGACTTCAAGTGGAAGTTTCTCCAATTCATGATTTACTTAAACATGTTTGCCAGCATTTTTCTGCTGACTACTATCAGTCTGGACCGATGCCTGTGCACATGGATGGTTGTGTGCAGTCGGAATAATCGAACCCTGTTCAAAGCTAGAATCATCTGCTAGATTGTGTGGATTTTATCCATCGGCTGCAGCATCCCCGCAGTCATCAATCACTCAACAGCAGAGCCTGAAGTAATGTGTAACTATCCAACTTCTATACAGTACAATCCTACAAGTCTTTGGTCACATATAGGTTCATAGTGGGCTTCCTCATCCCCTGCCTGATCATTGCATCTTCATATATAACTATCGGCATGCGAGTCAAAAGCCTAAAAAAGAGGAAGCAGCTCAGGTTTTACCAGGTCATTATAGCTGTGGTCCTGGCCTTTTTCATATGCTGGCTTCCTTATCATATCCACGAGTTTTATTACATAAGTGCAAAGGAGAATCAGTGGAGTGAGTCTGCTAAGGAGGTTTTATTAAAAACAGAAACTGTAGTGAACTGCCTGGCTTTTCTAAACAGCTGTCTGAACCCCATTCTCTATGTGTTCATGTGTGATGAGTATAAGAAGAAGCTCAAACAGTCTCTGCTGCTGGCGCTGGAGACGGCTTTTGCTGAGGATCATCAGGACTTCAAAGTCTCAAAGCAAACAAATGACATCGCCATCTCTATGCTTGACAGCTGCCAGGATGAAAAACCAAGCCATTAAAATTATCTAGACATTTATGACTCCTATTTCTTACCTTGATAGCCAAATTTTTATGACTTACAAACGAGGTTGAACAAAATATACAGCCATAAACTGCATTATACGAGTGGAAAAGTTGAATAAATGACTCAGTTTGTTCTATTTTGGAGGAAAATGTTTAGAAACTCTGGCTAAATCTTGTTGGCTATTTTAATGCAACATTATCTCACGTCATACATTTTATGACATTTTATGGCTTCTTTTTCCCATGTGCAAAACACATACAGTTAGAATTGATGAGCCCTTTTACACCGAAAAACTGAAATTTCTAGTAATTTCATGGTGAACATGATTTCACCAAGTACTATGTGTTCCTGGATCAACATCCCAATCAACCAATCAGATTTGAGGGATACATTTACAGGAAATGTCTGTTTTAGGCTTACAACAATGTTAGGTGCTTCTGCACCCTTGTTATCCCTCTGATTTTTGGTAGAAATTATGGGTAGGGGTAGGGTTTGGTCTATGTTTTTGGACAGTAATGTTGTTTCAGGATCAAATATCAAGTCACACGTTAAATTAAAAATGAAATTATCTAGTAGAAAGACTGAAATAGTATTTTCCTGTAAAACGTATTCAAATAACCTTTGTTTAGAGGTATGTGGAAACGTCCTGCTGCAGATATTCCTTTACTGCTAGAAAGTTCAAAACATGAGTATTTATATGTAAGAGGAAACTAGAAAAGACTGACATTGCTCATTTGATTCTAGTCGGCACTGGACTGGTTCTCTTTTGTGAGCATTCAAGAATGAGTCAGGGATGTACCAAACTGTGTGTTCCAAACACTGAGAGTCCTGGAAATGTTTAAATAATAACAAAGTAAAAATGAAATTCTTAAAAGCAACTTATTAAGATGATGTTTAATGATATTAAATCTCGCTTTTGCCATCAATCACCTCAGCTGTTCTCACTATATCACATAGGGGAACCTTCTACCAGTCTAAATAAATAAATAGAATGGCTTTTGGATATATTGTTTTCTGGTGGTTTTAAAAACAATACATTTTCTCGAATATAAATCCACACCTTGTTTTCCAGATTGCCATGAAAAACACAGGTCTTAGGCATAGGCATACACTGTAAAAAATGACCGTGAATTTAATGGTAAAATGCTACAGTAAAAACCTGTTAAATGGTTAACTGTAAATTCCCCTACTATATACGGTGAAAAACTGTATTGGATATTACATGTATTGGACATTAATTTTACGGTAGTATACTGTTTTTGGATGTGAAAAAGACCGTATAATTTACAGTGAATAACCGTAAATTGACATTCCCAGAATTCCCTGTGTTACATTTCAAATTTGATTTTTTTTTTGTTAAAATAATTATGTTTCTTCTTAGTTTTTTCTTATCAGTTTTGTATATTAGGGTTGTGTGTTACACCTAATCTTGTTAAATGAATGTTTATTGCATTATTTCAGTTTCATGTATGTTACCATGATGCTGTTTGGTGTTTGTGTGAATGACACTGTGCACCTTCTATATATGCTATTATTTAAAAGCTGCTTGTGATGGGCTTTGGTTCATCATGTGACTTTCTCATCACCATCTGCATTTGGTGATTATCAGTGTATTACAAAGGTACAAAACAGATTTCAGTACTTCAATAGGTTGGTATATTAACATTTTATCAGTTAATGAAATTACGGTATTTAACTGTAAATTTAAGTTAAAACCGTAAAACCTAAAACGTTGCTACCGTATTTTTTTACAGTAAAATTCCGGCTACCACAGCTGCCGGTTTTTTACCGTAAATTTTACGGATTTTTTTTTACAGTATAACTATAACTTTCTCCTGTATGCAAATCAGGTTTTCATTTGTAACATAATATAAAAAGGTCAAAAGCACAATCTCTCTTACACACAGTGAGACTAACAAAGACTATTTATAGTGAGCCATATGGAGCCATTAAGGTGCTTTTTTGTCCATTTTGAAGATGGACAGATGACAAAATAGTCTAAATGGCTTAAAAGGTCTGCCTTTTCATAGGTCCACATTTATTCGTTTAGCAGATGTTTTTAACCTAAGTGAGTTACAAATAAGATCAAGGCCTCTAGATGGCGCCATCTACAATGCTTTTAAACACTCAAAAAGAAAGATAAACTATATTATGAATAGAATGTGGCAAGTCAAAAATGCATTTCAGTCTCGAAGCACCAATGTTAAACTGCAGAACTAACTACCTGCTCTCCCCTTCATTTTTGGTGGCTAAACAATTATAATTATGGCTCTATCTATGGTCCCCATTGAAGAATGTTTCCTTTGAAAGCTGATATTCAAAATAGTTTTCTACAGAAGCATAGTTCCCTTGTTGCATCATCACTCCACCCCACTCTCTCTTTCATTTAAGTAAAGGGGAAACAACCAGCAATTGTTCATGCAAAGAAGTTGTTGGAAAAAGGACTAAAAATGGGTAAGAAACTTTATCTATGCAATATTCCTGTTTACACTTTTTAAACCTATATTGTACCTATACTAAATTTGTGTTTTACTGAGACAGATATGATGCCCTATGAAAAGAACTGGGTGAAGTGTTTTTTTGCTGTAATGCTGTTTTTTTTAAATGACATGCATCTTTTGATTCCTCCACCCATTTGGTTGGGTTTCATTATCTCGACTTGATTAAGATTAAGCAGCATTACCACTGGAGTTGAAAGTTTAGACTTTATCCAACAGAAATCTAAAAATCATCTCATGTCCATGTTGTTGTTACTCAGTGTAAAACACTATTTTAAGATGAAATGACAAACAAAATGTTTAAAAATATATATTGTGCATTAGTTTTTGTGACTTCAGTAACATGCTTACAATACAATACAAGTTTATTTGTATAGCACATTTAAAAACAACTGGTGTTGACCAAAGTGCTTTACAAGGCTAAAAGAAACAGGCAATAATGACACAAAGCATTTAAGCACTAGAGAAACAATAAAAGAAGGATAAAAATAAATAAAAGCCTAAAAAACAAAAACAAACATATATATATACATATATACAAACACACATACATATATATATATATATATATATATATATATATATATATATATATATATATATATATACACATA